CAGGTCCAGTTCCCTCCTCCCAGGCCGAGCCTAGCGACCCTTCATAAGCCCCAGGTTTCAAACAGCCAACTCATGCAATGAGCACAGGACCCAGTCCCACTGCATGGATGCCTCCCAAACAGATCAAGCCAATCAACTTTCTCACCCATTCAGAGGGCCTGATCCAGTTGGGGGCCTCTCAGCCATTGGTTCATCGTTCATGTGTTTCCATTCGTTTGGCTATTTGTCCCTGTGCTTTGTCCAACCTTGGTCTCAACAATTCTCACTCATATAAACCCTCCTCTCTCTTGCTAATTAGACTCCCGGAGCTCCATCCTGGGCCTAGCTGTGGATCTCTACATCCAGATCCCTCAGTCATTGGATGGGGTTTCTAGCACAACAACTAGGGTGTTTGGTCATCCTATCACCAGAGTAGGTTAGTTCCGGCTGTCTCTCAACCATTGCCAGTAGTCTATTGTGGGGGTATCTTTGTGGATTTCTGTGGGGCTCTCTAGTACTTTGCTTCTTCCTATTCTCATGTGGTCTTCATTTACCATGGTCTCCTATTCCTTGTTCTCCCTCTCTGTTCTTGATCCAGATGGGATCTCCTGCTCCCCCAAGCTCTCTTTCCCTCAATCCTCACCCTTCATTACCCCCACTCATGTCCAGGCTGTTTATGTAGATCTCATCCATTTCTCCGTCACTGGACAATCCCCATTTCTTTCTTGGGGTCCTGTTTTCCAGGTAGCTTCCCTGGTGATGTGAGTAGCAGTCCAGTCATCCTTGTTCCACATCTAGTATCCTCCTATGAGTGGGTACATACCATGTTTGTCTTTCTGAGTCTGGGTTACCTCACTCAGGATGATTTTTTTGATGCACTTGTTTGTGCATATACCTGTGGATGCTGGAGGTGGACTTCAGGTGTCTGCCACTGTCTTTTTCTACCTTATGTTTTGAGCCAGGGCCTCTCATTGAGAATGGAGTTCAGGGGATCTACATGTTCTACCTCAACACAAGCTCTAGGATTATAGTTCTGTGCCACAAGGCCTGATTTGAAGTGGGGGGGGGGCGGGGTCTGTAGCTGGAGAGTTTTCTCTCTGGTTTTGCCAAGTCCTGGCAGTCTGACCAGCCCACTTATAAAATAAACACACAGACACTTATATTATTTACAAACTGTATGGCCATGGCAGGCTTCTTGCTAACTGTTCTTATATCTTAAATTAACCCATTTCTATAAATCTATACCTTGCTACATGGCTCGTGGCTTACTGGCATCTTCACATGCTGCTTGTCATGGCAGCAGCAGGCAGTGTCTCCCTCTGACTTCCTGTTCTCTAAATTCTCCTCTCTGTTAGTCCCGCCTATACTTCCTGCCTGGCCACTGGCCAATCAGTGTTTTATTTATTGACCAATCAGAGCAACATACAGACTATCCCACAGCATGGGTCAGATATGGAACTTACATAGAAGAAACTTAATTGTTTGAGACAACTCCCAAGCTCTTGATTCTAAGTATTTTCATATATGTGATGGATTATATGAAATTTTCATGTAACTACTAACTAAAATATTGCACGTCTCTAATATTAGTTCTAATTATTTTAATTATTATATTTTCACATTTTGGCAAAAGTAGTCTTTTATTGAAAACAAATGCTTCTTTTGTACTTTTACTAAGATGAAACAGCAATGAAAAATGCTCAAGTATATCCAATTCACATTAAAGGTATTTGATGTTTGGATTTTGGTGTCCTACCAGTCCCTAACACTTATTAAACCCTCTTTACAATGTTATGGATATTGAATTAATAGCAATAAGCCAGAGAACTGGCCCATTTGGATGTCTTTTGCCAAGTTTCACTTGGTTGGGTCATAAAGGGATGATTGATGCATGTTTCCCATTGATAAATCTGAAAAAGCCATGAACCTTAACTCTAAGAATAAAGTGACTTCACTTTTATTTATTTTGCCATTAGAATGAATTATCTATTTAAGATTGCCTTTTCAAACTAGACCTTGAAATAAAATATGACTGATTTATATTTCTAGCCCTTTTAAACTTAGCTTCAATAAGTAAATGAGTTAACTGAACATAATTTAATCCCCCTTTGTAATGCAACTAATAGTTTCTACTTCAAGTAATTTAAAACAATATATTCAAAACCCATGTTACATACATGAATTCAATAAATATTAGTTATCTCTCCATAATACCATTTAAATAAGTAATTTATAAGTATAATTGACAACATAAAGGTGAAATGTGACCAACCAATATGAGTTTGGTCATATGTCTTACAGAAAGCTCTGCTGATGCCATATTTAGATGAGATAACCTAAACCCACATGTTG